ATGCGTGTATGCTCAACCATGATTGATGCCATGCACATGTGTCATTCCATTCCTTCAAAGGGGTTGTGCATCTCTTCCTTCCAGGTCCATTCGGCTCTTGCCATTCCAGCAAGCGGAGAGAGGGAGGCGCACTACGTTCGCGTGACACCTAGCTTCCATGGGTCACCCGCATTTTCACGTGTTGCCATACTTCAGACCGTTACAGACCCATTCGGGAAGCAGGAGAACATCACAACATATGCAGACCTGCTCATGTTTTTCCATATAAGCACGCGACGAGAGGATGGTGAGCCCACAGCGCTGGCGTACGTGCGTTTGTATGAGACGCGTGAGGTGGACGAGAAGACTTCTTGCGTGAAGCTCAAACTGAGGGATGTGCATCTCCGACACTATGTAATTGACGCACGGTCCATTTTGCGCTCCGTCCATATTGTGCGATCATACCGGGATCGGCCAACCTTCATTCTCAATCGCTATGTTGCATCGTAGACAATGATGCTATGCTATAATTGCTCTCGGTTGTAGAATGTGAAGGATGAAATTGGCTAACGACCCTACAAAAGGCGTTGATTATGTAGATTCTAATTAATATGGAGTGGTAGTACAACAAACACAAAGCTTTGCACACTCAATTTCATATATTTTTTTTCCAATCAAGAGCCCGATATAGTACGAATGGAGTAGATAAATACTTAATACAATAACTCATGTGGCACTTTATAAAAACCTCTTACATATGGAACGTAACAATTCCACAATGAGTGTCTACACACTATGTTATGATATTACAGTTTCTTCCGCGCCAACACAGCAGATTGGGTCGAGACCTACAGCCAATGGGTCACTAGCGCCCGGTTCCTGGCCTCCCTCACAGCTCCCGAAGCTGAAATGTGCAGCGGAACCTGAAAACCAAGCCGCTCGGCCAATGGGGGGAGTTGCGAAGCTGACAGCTAAGCTGCCCAAAGCACATCCGAGAATTCCGAAGCTGCCTGGGCTGATCTCGTTTCGACGCGACGCGTCGAAAGTATGTTTTCCCACTCGGTTAATTTGTTACTCCAGTCATACTCCTCAACACCATACTTTTTGAGCCCCCCCATTTTTGGGATGAGTCTGCTCATGGTGATACACCATACGGGCCCGTTCCCGCTTTCGCCCTTCTCCCCGCCCTCCCATGCCCTGCGCCATTCCCCCTGTTACCGATTCCGCCGCTAAGCGTGCTTTGCGCTCTCTGAAGTTTGAAACTTACAGTGCACTGCAATGGCAGATCCATCTATTGTCGGAGCTGCCACGAATTTCCCACGACCTGCGCTGCGCGCCAAAACGCAAACACCCTGTTTGGCCGAGGCACATCTGTACAAGGTTTCGTAGGCCCCAAACAAAAATCAGCCACCATAACCCTACTCGTGAGTGTTACATGGTTGCACAAATTCGCAGCTAGTTTCGCGAAATGAACCAGCCGTAATAGAATTTTGCAGTCAGCCCTGTTTCGCCCCGCAATCGACCATTCTGCTAGGCGGGTTTGGTGGGTCCGTGTGTTTGTGGGATGCTGGAGGATGTCGGCCTTGCAAAATGGTAACCGGCAACAAATTCTATTTTCGCATCGCCCGTTAAAATTCGTCCACTACAAGGGAAGAAACAAAACATTATGTAAATATAAATAAATCATGTAGCTCAGATGGTAGAGCGCTCGCTTAACATGCGAGAGGTATGGGCATCGATACCCCACCTCTATTTGATTTTACTTTGTTACCTTTTTTAGATTGTGTGTCCTACCAGGCTAACCTCTTGTCAGAAATAGAGCTCAGTGCGTACCTCTTTGTCAGAAATAGAGCCCTGAGAAAAAATCGCTGTAGAACAACATTTTCAAGACCGTGCAAAATCTGTCACACGTTCTAGAACTACGCCAGCGAACCAAGTCAGGCAGTTGCGATAAACACATGAGGAAGGACCTCGCTTTGTCAAGTATGGATTTGCTTTTGCACGTTCTTTTCTTTTGGCATTTCCGTATTATCATCAAATTCCTTAGACAGTGCACCCATGAGATATGTACATACATCAGTAGTACCCGTTAATCAACGCTCACAAAAGGCATCACATACGGAAAACAAAGGTGTGTTGCAATTGAGGCATGTATCGGCTCCTTCTCACTGGCAGCACCACTAGCAGCAGGCCACGACTGGCATCACTCGCAGTAGCAGCAGTAGCAACGGGAGGGGCACCAACATGCTCGCGCCACATGACTCGGTTTCTTTCCCATTCCAAGAACCTTCCTAACACAAGATCATCCGTTGCTGCCTGCCGGCCCCCTGAACCTGTCGCTACCACCACTGAACCTGCCCACCACTCCACCCTAGCACCACCAGCACCAAAAACAGCACTACCGGCGCATGACACAATTCCTCATTGTATCCGCCCCACCTTTCCAGCCTCGCACCACAACCAGCACTATCGACACATGCTCGGCACTTCCTCTCCAACACAAAATCATCTGAAGCTGCCTGCCGCCTGTCTCCACCACCACACCACCGTATCCACCCACCCAGCCATTGAAGCAACAGCACCACAAGAAGCACTACCAGCACATGACTCAGTGTACCTACACCGCCTCTCCACCTTAGCACTGGCAGCACCAGCAGTGGGGGCAGAAAGTACACACTACCGGCGCATGACTCGGTTCCTCTCCCGCTTCCTTATCCGCTCCAGTATAACATCATCCGATGCTGCTACTGTCCCAACCACCACTGTACCCACCCAACCTCTCCACCCTAGCACCACCGGCACAAGCAGCATCAGCAGGACCAGCAGCGCTACCGGCGCATGACTCGGTTTCTCTCCCGCTTCCTGAACCGCTCCAATATAACATCATCCGACGCTGCCTGTCGCCCCTGCCTCCACCACCACTCAACCCACCTCAACTCTCCACCCCAATGACAGTAGCAGCACTTGCAGAAGCAGCAACAACAAGGCGCAGCGGCGACATACTACCGGCGCATGGCTCAGTTCCTCTCCCGCTTCCTGAACCGCTCCGATATGAGATCGTTCGTTGCTGCCTGCTGCTCCTATCCCCACCACCACTGTACCCACACCACCTCTCCACCCTTGGACCACCAGAAGCACCAGCATCACAAGCAGCACTACCGGCGCATGACTCGGTTTCTCTCCCGCTTCCTAAACCGCTCCAATATAAGATCATCTGTTGCTGCTTGTCGCCTCTCCCCTCCCCCTTCCCCCCACCGCCTCCAACCCCATACCCACCACCACCCCAATAGCCTCCCCCACCCCCAATTGACCATTCTGCTAGGCGGGTTTGGTGGGTCCGTGTGTTTGTGGGATGCTGGGGGATGTCGGCCTTGCAAAATGGTAACCGGCAACAAATTCCTTTTTCGCATCGCCCGTTAAAATTCGTCCACTCCCTGCCGAGCTGTTCACCAGCATGGTTGCAGACCGCTTTGCAAGGAAGCAACAAATATAATATTTTTATTAAACCATTTTTACGGATGATCGGGGATGTAGCTCAGATGGTGGAGCGCTCGCTTAGCATGCAAGAGGTGTGGGGATTGATACACCACTTTTATTTGTTTTTACTTTTTTGAGATTGTGTGTCCTACCAGGCTAACCTCTTGTCGGAAACAGAGCTCTGAGAAAAAATCGCTCTAGAACAACATTTTCGAGACTGTGCGAAATCTGTCACACGTTCTAGAACTGCGCCAGCGAAGCAAGTCAGGCAGTTGCGATAAACACATGAGGAAGGACCTCGCTTTGTCAAGTATGGATTTACTTTTGCACGTTCTTTTCCTTTGGCATTTCCGTATTATCATCAAATTCCTTAGACAGTGCACCCATGAGATATGTACATACATCAGTAGTACCCGTTAATCATTACTCACAAAAGGCATCACATACGGAAAACAAAGGTGTGTTGCAATTGAGGCATGTATCGACTCCTTTACACTGGCAGCACCACCAGCAGCAGGCCAGGACTGGCATCACTGGCAGTAGCAGCAGTAGCAACGGGAGGGGCACCAACATGCTCGCGCCACATGACTCGGTTTCTTTCCCATTCCAAGAACCTTCCCAACACAAGATCATCCGTTGCTGCCTGCCGGGCCCCTGAACCTGTCGCTACCACCACTGAACCTGCCCACCACTCCACCCTAGCACCACCAGCACCAAAAACAGCACTACCGGCGCATGACACAATTCCTCATTGTATCCGCCCCACCTTTCCAGCCTCGCACCACAACCAGCACTATCGACACATGCTCGGCACTTCCTCTCCAACACAAAATCATCTGAAGCCGCCTGCCGCCTGTCTCCACCACCACACCACCGTATCCACCCACCCAGCCATTGAAGCAACAGCACCACAAGAAGCACTACCAGCACATGACTCAGTGTACCTACACCGCCTCTCCACCCTAGCACTGGCAGCACCAGCAGTGGGGGCAGAAAGTACACACTACCGGCGCATGACTCGGTTCCTCTCCCGCTTCCTTATCCGCTCCAGTATAACATCGTTCGATGCTGCTTGCTGCTACTGTCCCAACCACCACTGTACCCACCCAACCTCTCCACCCTAGCACCACCGGCACAAGCAGCATCAGCAGGACCAGCAGTGCTACCGGCGCATGACTCGGTTTCTCTCCCGCTTCCTGAACCGCTCCAATATAACATCATCCGTCGCTGCTTGTCGCCCCTGCCTCCACCACCACTCAACCCACCTCAACTCTCCACCCCAATGACAGCAGCAGCACTTGCAGAAGTAGCAACAACAAGGCGCAGCAGCGACATGCTACCGGCGCATGGCTCAGTTCCTCTCCCGCTTCCTGAACCGCTCTGATATAAGATCGTTCGTTGCTACCTGCTGCTCCTATCCCCACCACCACTGTACCCACACCACCTCTCCACCCTTGGACCACCAGTAGCACCAGCATCACAAGCAGCACTACCGACGCATAACTCGGTTTATCTCCCGCTTCCTAAACCGCTCCAATATAAGATCATCTGTTGCTGCTTGTCGCCTCTCCCCTCCCCCTTCCCCCCACCGCCTCCAACCCCATACCCACCACCACCCCAATAGCCTCCCCCACCCCCGTATCCCCCTCCGCCCCCATCTCCCTGCTGATACGGATCGCCCCCACCGTACCCCCCTCCCCCTCCTCTTCCCCCTCCGCCTCCCGTGCCCCCACGGCCTCCCCCTCTCGAGTCTCGGAACATGTCGGGGTTGTCTGCAATGGAAGGGACATGGGGAGGGGACAAGGGGAGGGGCAAGAGGAGGGGACAAGGGGAGGGGCAAGAGGAGGGGACAAGGGGAAGGGCAAGAGGAGGGGACAAGGGGAGGGACAAGAGGAGGGGACAAGGGGAGGGACAAGAGGAGGGGACAAGGGGAGGGACAAGAGGAGGGGACAAGGGGAGGGACAAGTGGAGGGGACAAGGGGAGGGGCAAGGGGGGTTAAGCAGCGGGGCAAGAAGCGGGGACAAGGAGTGAATGTGTTGCTTTTGAGGCACCTCAAAAACAACCTCACTGCCCCCACGGCCTCCCCCTCTCGAGTCTCGAAACATGTCGGGGTTGTCTGCAGTGAAGGGGCCAAGGGGAGGGGCAAGGGGCGGGGCAAGAAAGGGGGCAAGGAGTGAAATTCTTGCAGCTTGACACAGCAAGGAAAAACACCTTTCCCTCAGGCCGAAACGGGGCAAGCAACGAGGCAAGGGGCGGGGCAAGGAGTGAACGTGTTGCAGCTTGACACAGCAAGGAAAAACACCTTTCCCTTTCGCCACCTGACCTTCCCCTTCCACCAAATCGTCCAAGACCCCACGTCCGTCTGGGACATGTCAGGGGGTGTCTGTCTGGTATCCGAGAAGAGGGAGAGAGGGGTGTGGAATATGTGGTGAATGGGAGAAGGATGCATGCATGGGTATGCTTATGGACCGTTGAGGCGCCTCACAAGTTGTCTGGTATCAGGAACGATAGGGTGAGTGGGAGGCGGAAGCATTGGGGCACGAGTCACGAGTGTGATTGTGTCCAGCACTCATGGGGGCACGAGTCACGAGTGCGATTGTGTCCAGCACTCATGGGGGCACGAGTCACGAGTGCGATTGTGTCCAGCACTCATGGGGGCACGAGTCACGAGTGTGATTGTGTCCAGCACTCATGGGGGCACGAGTCACGAGTGCGATTGTGTCCAGCACTCATGGGGGCACGAGTCACGAGTGCGATTGTGTCCAGCACTCATGGGGGCACGAGTCACGAGTGTGATTGTGTCCAGCACTCATGGGGGCTCGAGTCACGAGTGTGATTGTGTCCAGCACTCATGGGGGCACGAGTCACGAGTGTGATTGTGTCCAGCACTTGTGTTTTGAGACGTGCTAATGGGCGAGGAAGAGGCTTGGAGTGGTGGAGGGATGTGGTGGAGAGAGGTGGGTAGTGGTGGTGGTTTGGAAAAAATGGTCGAGGAAGAGACTTGGAGCAAGGAAGCCACGACGACAAAGAGGATTGCCAAGGATGACGCAGTGCAATGCAGCACTGCGATTGTGCCCAACCTCTGACTTGGCTTGAACGCCCTTTGAGGCGCCTCAAAAGCGCTCAAGCCACTGACTTGGCTTGAATGCCCTTTGAGGCGCCTCAAAGGCACTCGAGCGTGTGACTTGGCTTGAACGCCCTTTGAGGCGCCTCAAAAGCACTCGAGCCTCTGACTTGGCTTGAACGCCCTTAGAGGCTCCTCAAAAGCACTCGAGCCTCTGACTTGGCTTGAACGCCCTTTGGGGCGCCTCAAAAGCACTCGAGCCTCTGACTTGGCTTGAACGCCCTTTGAGGCGCCTCAAAAGCACTCGAGCCTCTGACTTGGCTTGAACGCCCTTTGAGGTGCCTCAAAAGCACTCGAGCCTCTCACTTGGCTTGAACGCCCTTTGAGGCGCCTCAAAAGCACTCGAGCCTCTGACTTGGCTTGAACGCCCTTTGAGGCGCCTCAAAAGCACTCGAGCCTCTGACTTGGCTTGAACGCCCTTTGAGGCGCCTCAAAAGCGCTCAAGCCTCTGACTTGGCTTGAATGCCCTTTGAGGCGCCTCAAAGGCACTCGAGCGTGTGACTTGGCTTGAACGCCCTTTGAGGCGCCTCAAAAGCACTCGAGCCTCTGACTTGGCTTGAACGCCCTTAGAGGCGCCTCAAAAGCACTCGAGCCTCTGACTTGGCTTGAACGCCCTTTGAGGCGCCTCAAAAGCACTCGAGGACGCATCAGATGATTCCAACATCCAAGTAAGGACCCGGACGGAAATCGCACATCAAGACAAAGTGGCTCACACGAACTGCTGACTGTTTCCGCTGCGTGTGAAACAGAACCCTCTTGTTTTGACTGAGCGGCTAGCGAAGCGCTAGGGCGTGTGTCCGCGGGGTCGAAGTTCGGCCAAAGTTCGGCCTTTAGAGAGGTTTCGCCACGGTGAAAAGCGGTTCGAGTTCGAACTTGCAATTTTTTGCCGAAGGGCACACGCCGGGGTTCGATTCCAGACTGGGTCACATCTTGCGCAAGTTGAATGTGAGAGCCCAGCAAACGATCCGCCATTGTGACCCAGCGAAGTTGTTGAGTGCCCAGCGTGTCACGCAGGCAGCGTGCATACACTCTTTCACGCCCTGCCCTGAGCTCGGATTGTACTGCTGCATAATGCTCAGAAGTGCAATTGCGTCACATGGCTTTTGAGAAATTTGTGTTGCTGTGCATACGCTCGTCCGCCCTCCCCTGAACTCCGACTGCCGCATCCCCCATCAACATCCCCTCTCTGGGCGTTCTTGATGCCTTTCCCCTGTCTTTTTTCATGCCTGGCACTTCCCTGCACCATGTCTCTTGTGGCTGCTCTGTAAGTCGCCCAACACACACTTTCTCAGCCAGCTCCAACATATCCTCCTCTTGTGTCTTTCCCTTCCCGTTGTTGTGCCTCCTCACGCTCAGGTCATTCCAGGAGTCCCGCAGTACGCTCAAGTTCGCCCAAATGGCGACGCTAATTCGCAATAAGCCGCTAGTGAATGAGGCTGCAAAGGGCAACAAGGACGCTCTTAAGAAGGAAAACGTGCGGCTCAAGGTGATGCGATCCCTTCCCTGCTGCACTCAACCCGCATGTGCGTGCTGCAACCCGCACAGCTTCCTGCTGCTGTTCCTGCTGCTGTTGCATCAAATTGTGGGGGAAGAGTGCAGCAGGGAAGGGATCGCATCACCTTGAGCCGCACGTTTTCCTTCTTAAGAGCGTCCTTGTTGCCCTTTGCAGCCTCATTCACTAGCGGCTTATTGCGAATTAGCGTCGCCATTTGGGCGAACTTGAGCGTACTGCGGGACTCCTGGAATGACCTGAGCGTGAGGAGGCACAACAACGGGAAGGGAAAGACACAAGAGGAGGATATGTTGGAGTTGGCTGAGAAAGTGTGTGTTGGGCGACTTACAGAGCAGCCACAAGAGACATGGTGCAGGGAAGTGTCAGGCATGAAAAAAGACAGGGGAAAGGCATCAAGAATGCCCAGAGAGGAGATGTTGATGGGGGATGCGGCAGTCGGAGTTCAGGGGAGGGCGGACGAGCGTATGCACAGCAACACAAATTTCTCAAAAGCCATGTGACGCAATTGCACTTCTGAGCATTATGCAGCAGTACAATCCGAGCTCAGGGCAGGGCGTGAAAGAGTGTATGCACGCTGCCTGCGTGACACGCTGCTGCTGCGAATTACACGGGCATGCATGCACACCTACTTTCAGAAAGTGACTCCGGTGCAGCAGTAGAGAGCGTGGGACAGGGGAGGGTGAGTCCATGCTGCACAGCACATGCTGCAAGTAGAGCTCGGCATAACATCCGCAGTTGCACAAATAGAGACACAGGCACGGTGCCTTGCCCCGCTCTGCCCTCTTGCCCCGCTCTGCCCTCTTGCCCCGCTCTGCCCTCTTGCCCCGCTCTGCCCTCTTGCCCCGCTCTGCCCTCTTGCCCCGCTCTGCCCTCTTGCCCCGTTCTGCCCTCTTGCCCCGCTCTGCCCTCTTGCCCCGCTCTGCCCTCTTGCCCCGCTCTGCCCTCTTGCCCCGCTCTGCCCTCTTGCCCCGCTCTGCCCTCTTGCCCCGCTCTGCCCTCTTGCCCCGCTACCCGTTTGCCCCACTAACACCTCCTGGTGCTCACAGTGCGAATGGGCTGAGGCAGGCCAGCATGGTGGTCTTGGAGTTGCCCCCAAGCGAGTCCTGTACACGTGGTAGGTGGTGAAAGAGAGGGGGGTGTAGTCTTAAAGTGAAAGGAGTGTGGCGTTGGTATACAGTGGCTGGCTGGCAGCCACGCATTGAAATGAACACATGGTGTCTAATTTGAGTTCCCTATTTGAAGCGCATAAAAAATGACCTTCATATGTGGTGGGTGGTGAAAGGGGGTTGGTGAAAGGGTGTGGTTTTGACTACAGTGGCAGCCACGCCACGCATTGCACGTATGGTATTAAACTTGGGTTCCATTTCCGAGGCGCCCAAGAGATTTTCCTGTACACGTACGTACGGAACCTAGCTTGGGTTTCATTGGAGCTGCCCTCGCAGAGGGACTACCGGGGCAGGCAGGCACCTTGTCAGGAAAGGTGTGTGACTTATAATTTTATGCTATTGAGTCGTCACAAAATCAACAGGCGTCAGCAAAGCATGAAACAGAGTCGTTGTCGTCAGCAGTCACATGTTGCATTGTCTCAAAACATGTGGGCAGGGAGAAACGCCCTTGCCCATTCTTCATTCAGCAGAAACCAGGGAAAGCAGGGCTGGAGCGCGGCTATGATGCGAAAGACGCGTCCTGCGTCCTGGACGCATGCGTCCAGACGCATGCGTCCGGACGCAAGACGCTTCACCAGGACCAGAAAGACGCACCAAAAGACGCAGTCCCGGGCAGGCAAAAAAAAACCCCGGGCAGGCAAAAAACTTGTTATAGGGCATGGGATGAGGGGGGGGGGGGGGGGGGGAACGTTCCACACTTTCAAGGCAAACTTGGCCCCAACATCAAATTTTCCCCCAAATCTCAAGATTCAGGTGAGTCACGTATTGTCACACACATGTCCCAAGGTCACATACACAGTTTATCGTATCACTGAAGAACACGCATACTATTAAACTACCACCACAGCACTGCATGAACATCCCTAGATGCGTTAGATGACGTAGGGTTGCTTGAGGAAGCCATAATGGAGCTAAGCTATGCTTGTAGGCCAAAACCTCTAGGGTTTTCGAAAGAGAATTGGTTGGGTGGGTGAAATGAGAAATGACTTGGTTGGATTGCTAAATGGGCTCGGTGGTAGGCACCTTGGTTGGGTTTTCTAGATGTGAAGTGGTTGAGAGGTATTTGGAATTCAATTGTTGCATGGGGGGTTATGAAATGTTGGGGGGGGGCTGTTTTTCAGTGTCGAATTGGGCAACGGGGGGTCAAAATTTCGCGATTTCGACACTTGCGTCGAAATCGCGAGATTGAAATTCGTAATCTCGAAAAAAAAAAAAAAAAATCGGGGCAGCCCGAAAAAATTTCGATCTGCGTCCTGCGTCTGGACGCGCGTCTTGCGTCCTAGCGTCCAGACGCTGCGTCCAGACGCAGGACGCAGCGTCCTCTGAGCGTCTTTCGCATCATAGGAGCGCGGTATTTACCTCGAGAAAGAGGGTGAGGGAAGAGTCGCGGTAGGGCACGTAGACAGGCTTGTTCTTCCTCAGTGACTCCACCAATGCCCTCATGACAATGCTGTAAGACCAACACACAAACACAGACGAGTGTGGCGTGGCTGCCGTGGCATACAGGCATCCGACCAGGTGACACGTGAGAAGAGATATTTTAGCAAATCAACCAGCTCGATGATCACCGTGCTGCGACCAGCACACGAACACGCATGGCCACGGTGATATCTCTTTTCAATATTCAAGTTCACTGAACATTCAGATCCAGGTACACCAGCATCGTGATGACAGCGCTCGTTGGCCGACCCATGAACACTGGCTGATAGCGAGTACACGATGATTCCACCCGCCCAGCGCTTGTTTGCAAGAATGCGTTTTTGAGTAGACTCAACCACCATTCGTATGAAAGCACACACTATCAACATGCAGCGCGTGGATAGCCAAGGATGAGAGGCGGTTTTAGGCGCCTCAATAAACATAGCCAAGGGTGAGAGGCGACAAACCCAAGCTGGGTGAGGGACGTGTTGGTGGAGCTCGCCTCCTTGAGCCGCTCTCCAGTGGCCCCTGATGACTTCTGCCTGCCAGGGGTGGAAAGTGGTGGAGAGGGGTGGAGAGAGGTGCAGTGCACAAGATTGGGGCGGGGTGGGAGGGGGACATGTTTGATGAGCATGATAGGATAAAATATATACATCTCTGGTGATACGAGGGATGGAAACCGGTGTGCTGAGGGGTGTCGAGGGGTACAGTGCATCAGAGTGGGACGAGATGGGGGGTGGTGGATGAGAAACTAGCACACGGCACAAGGCATGACAGGTGATGTGTTGTGTGAGACAATATAAAACCACTCCACCGTGAGTGTGGGGTAGGGATGAGCAAGTGGCGAACACGAACGTGTTCGTGTTCGCCCCTTCACGAACACCTTCGTTTGCCGAACCGAACAGTGATCGGTTCGGCGAACACTTTGAGCAAAAAATGGTGTTCGCCGTTCGCCTGTGAAGGCGTGTTCGGGCGAACCTCGAACAGTGTTCGTGTTCGTCACGGGCAAATTGCAGCGGCGGCCCGAACACGAACGTGTTCGGGCGAACATCGAACACTGTTCGGCGAACATTTTAAGCCAAAAAAAAAAACCTGTTCGGTTCGCCTCGAACGTGTTCGAGGCGAACCGAACAGGTGTTCGCCACCTTGCTCATCCCTAGTGTGGGGTGTGGGCAGTGAAGGCAGCAGGTGGTGAGAGTGTGGCACGATGTGGTGAATGGCAAGCAGCACAAATCAGAGCAAGCCTGTGGAGTGGAAGTTAGGGCAACACTTGCACAAGTACTAGTGAAGCATGGTGGCTGTGACAGTAACTGTGTGCACGCTGCTATACGCTCGTGCGGTAATCTTGTGATGGGGACATGATTGCATGATGCAAGGGCGAATGAGGGTGCGGGCGGGTTGTGAGAGCAGAAGCGTTGCATCATGCTGTGAGAGCCTCAAAAGGCAATGGCAAGAGGGGACGGGACGGAGTACCTTTCAGAGCCCGCGAGGTCAACTAAGTTGAGTTGACTCAAGCGCTGATTGCTGATGCCCGCAACCTCCCACTAGTGGTGAGGAGACATGGGTGGGGGCGCACGCACATTCGCATGTGTGAACATTCAGACATTTGTGCAGTTGCATGCACCCAAGCACAGTTGCACGCACATTTGAACATGCAGTCTTGCAGACATGAGAGAACGTGGGCATGGAATGGAAGGGCATGTGAGTCTCTCTACTAGTGCTTGCTTCCTTAGCCATTCACGTTTTTTCCTTCTCACAGCGCTCTTCTCACAGCGCTCCTAACAAGCTTAACAACATTCACATTGCTCTCCACTCAACGTTGCACACGAACTTCAGAGTCTGGAAAAAGACACCTCTGCATACACCATTAAGCGGCCATCAAGACACGAGTTCTGCATAATAAACTCAGCTGCCGCACCATCAAGCCTGTTAGCCACACTTACATTGATTTCGAGAAGCTGCAACAGTCACCTTCAATGTTGTCAGCACCAAGACCAAGGGAAGGGACCACAACCAGTTGCCTAGCTCAGTAAGAAATTGCACGGGGCAGAACTCAACTACCGGATTAGTTGTGTGACTATCAATGTTGCAAGCAGCAAAGCACTCGCAGTTCTACTCCGCACCTTCAAACCTGCCAACACCAGCACTCATCGTGCTCTCCTATTTGCCAGCACTCACAGTTCCACAGTCCCCTCTGCACCTTCAAGCCTGCCAGCACCACACTCCAGTCACCGTGCTATCAATGTTGCAAGCGGCACTCACAGTTCCACTCTGCACCTTCAAGCCTGCCAGCACCACACTCCAGTCACCGTGCTATCAATGTTGCAAGCGGCACTCACAGTTCCACTCTGCACCTTCAAGCCTGCCAGCACCAAACTCCAGTCACCGTGCTATCAATGCTGCAAGCGGCACTCACAGTTCCACATCCACTCTGCACCTTCAAGCCTGCCAGCACCACACTCCAGTCACCGTGCTATCAATGTTGCAAGCGGCACTCACAGTTCCACTCTGCACCTTCAAGCCTGCCAGCACCAAACTCCAGTCACCGTGCTATCAATGTTGCAAGCGGCACTCACAGTTCCACATCCACTCTGCACCTTCAAGCCTGCCAGCACCACACTCCAGTCACCGTGCTATCAATGTTGCAAGCGGCACTCACAGTTCCACTCTGCACCTTCAAGCCTGCCAGCACCAGCACTGCAACGTCTGCACTCACCGTGCTCTCGATGTAACAGGAGAGCACACAGTGCGACCGGCTGCTGTTCTGATTCATGTTTGTCGGTGCCTGTTTCCGGTTCTTTGCTCCCTGCACAGACATGCACACATACGAACACGCATACACGCACAGGTGCAGTGAGAATCCTCACAAGCAGCCCCACCACCCGCCGGTTCTTTGCTCCCTGCACACCAATAGCAGCACACAGTTAACGACCCCAAAATCCTATACTCCAAGATTAACTTCAAAAAAATGTCCTTCATGCTAGCATATGGTTTTAGACAACCAATCTTAGAAACAGAACAAAAGCTTTTTCCAACTCATAACTCGAGTTGCTGTCGATCATGGATGAAGCTGCTGCCAGCTCAACTCACCTCACCTCAACTCAACTCACCTGCTGAATAAGCTCCATGGCTTGAGAGAAGAACGCCATTGGTGGCTGCTTGGTGAGATTTTAGTCGAATCAAATGGATGGCACCTCTGTACAGTCGAGCGGGTTGCCATTTCAACTCAGCTCAACTCAGCTTACCCGTTTAACCAGTTCCATGACCTGGCCAAGGCAGGTGACCGGCTGCTTGGTGAGATTTGAGTCGACTCAAATGGATGGCACCTCTGTACAGTCGAGCGGGTTGCCATTTCAACTCAGCTCAACTCAGCTTACCCGTTGAACCAGTTCCATGACCTGCCCAAGGCAGGTGACTGGCTTCTTGGTGAGATTCTCCACATACACACCGCTGGGACCCTTTCGAATCTGAGAGGAAAGGAAGAGGAGCAACAGGGGCGTGTCAACAGGAATGCGAGATGTTCCACACACGTGCCATTAGGACCCTCTCGAATCTGAGGTTGAGGATGGAAAGGGGGGGGGACAGGAATGTGAGGGGACAGGCATGAGAGGTGTGAGCTACAAGGATAACCTAGTGCAACGAGCAGGCGATGAAGACCTGCTGCTTGTGTGGTTCAAATCCTGCAACCCATCACATCACAGGCTGCTAGGTGAGGTTCTCACACATGAGTTGTTGGCGCCTCCACGGATTTAAGAGGCCCGAGGGAAGGGGCAGACATGTCAGTCAGGGATCAGGCGTGTGGTGTGCGATGCAATGAGAGGCGTGAGCTACATGGGGCTGAATCTAGTCAACCAAGCGAGTCAGGTTACTTGGTGAGGCTGATGTAGCACGTACGTGGCAGGTAATAGCACTCGCACATGCAGATTGTAGCACGCACATGCGGGTTGCAGCACGCACATGCGGGTTGCCACCCACATCACATGCACCCTAAACTTCAGACTTCCAAAAAAACCGTAGCCTTACTCACATTCGCCTTCATCCTTCATCCCTATCCCCTGCACTCACATGCGGCCTGAAACCTAACCCTGGCCCTGAACTCACGTCCAGGTTGCAGCGCTTGGGGTCGAGCAAGTCATTTACTTGCTGGCCGCTTATCTCCACAAAGGAGCATGAGCAGTTGAAACTCAGATGCTCGCGCTCCCTCTGCTTTGCCTCCTGGCAAGGCCGACGGATGGGGCGAGGAGTGAAGGAAGGAACAGCGGCGGGGAGAGAAGCAGGTAAGGAACAGAGGTGGAGAGAGGTGGTGGGAAGGTGGAGAAGTGGAAAGAGGAGGGAAGGAAGAGATGTCGGATGAGGAGGATGGAAGATAAGTGGGGAAAGGAGGAGTCCCAACTATACATGGGCAAATGGCGAGTCGAGTTTTACTGGACTCGTTTTGACGAGTTTCTTCCCTTTGACAAGTCGAGTCGAGTTTTACTCGTCGAGTTTTTTTGGTCAAAATGCCGACTCGAAACTCGGCCCCAAAGTCGAGTTTTTTGAAAACTCGGATGAGCCTTAAAAAAACTCGTCCGAGTCAAGTAAAACTCGACTCGAAGTTAAACACTACCCTAACCTAAAACCCCAGCCACACGAAAACAGTTGTAGGGTGCCCAGAAAACTGCCACACGCGTCAACACCCACAAACGACCCAGCCAGCCCCACCTCTCCTCCCCCCTTTCACTTTCCAAAAAAGCAACTCACCGCCACGCCAGCTGCACTAGTGTTCACAATTAAGTGGTGGAACACATCCAAAACAGCGAGCCACACCTCCAGCAGCATATCAACCCAGAAACAGACATTTGTACTCCCCCGTGGTGGACCATTTGATGCACGAGTTTTTAAAACTCGTCTAGATTAAAACAAACCTCGTGAGTGAAAAAAAACTCGCGAGTTATGGGTAACTCGCCTGTCTAGCCGAGTTTTTCACGAGTTTTTTTAAACTCGCGAGTAAAAATCGACTCGTTTTCACGAGCTTTTTTTACCAAAATCAGAACTCGAAACTCGTTATTTTCGAGTACTTCAAACGAGTCTAGTAAAAACTCGACTCGTTTGCCCATGTATAGTCCCAACCATGCTGCTGCATGAGCGCAGCAAAAGGCAGGCAGCGCAGCACGGCACGCACCTGTTTCATCAGCGCGAAGACCAGCTGGAAGACTCGCGCAATCATTCCCCATCCCGACCTGACCTCCACTTCGCCAGCCTTATCCCGTAGCAATCTGTCCATGTCAGCCTTGTCCACTTCAGCTCCAAACAGCGTGTGTGTTTTGCCGCTGCCAGTCTGAAGAGCGCCGCGTCGTAAGGAAGAGTGAGTGGGCAAACAAAAGGAGGAGGGGAGGAGAGTAATCAGGAGGAGGGAGGGAGAGCATGCAAAAGGGTTGAGACGGGATATGGAAGGATGACATTTGAGACATCTGAAAATTGGAGAGAGAGCCTGCAGAAGGAAAGTAACTGGGATATGCTCTAGGAAAGGGATACGGCATGAATAAGACTGCTGGGGACGTTGTCAGGGGTCAGGGAAGAGGGAATAGGCAAGAGGGATGGGTGGGTCACTAAACTACACACAACAAACATGGGATGGCATGGCGCAAAAGGTGTTTCTGCGGTTTCTTAGGTTCACCCCGCAAACATGGTGTAAGCCAATGCTATGCACCACAGAGGGAACGGCGAACCTGGTCATATACTCGACACGCTCACAGAGGGGTGGCCAAACCTAACCATATACCCCCACAGGAGGGCGAACCTAACCATATACCCCCACAGGAGGGCGAACCTAAGGACGCGGTGCAAGTGCAAATATCGCAGGATTGTCTGCAAATATCGAGCCCCACAATCAAGTGGGCTGATCGATTGGCGAAACGTGGCGCCCGAGACGTTGTAATGATCGCCCCTTTAGAACTGACAGATCTCCCGCGATCAGTGATCAGTCGCATTCGCACATTGTACAGAAATTTTGGCAAAAACGCGTACTGTAGCATAGTTACAGCGTAGTAAATAGGGTAACCGATCCGCACATCAATCTTGACTGACAATAGATCGTCTACTTTCACCACGTCCTAACCATATACCCCCACAGGGAAGGGCGAACCTAACCATGTACCTCCACACACTCACAGATGGGGGGGGGGAGGAGGGAGGGGGGGGGGGGTGGGGGAGCTGGCCTTGTACGAACATGATGCTCTTGTACTTGGCGAGACAGTCTCCGAGGAGCCACACACACATCTGCCATGCTATACGCCATATGTGATACGATGATCCTCAACACTGCCATCCTGCATGCTGCATACAACGAAGCCCCCCCCCCCCCCCCCAAGCTGCGGGTTACATGGCAGATACAACGAACCTGGCCAAAAGTGAACATTGTGCTGTTGTAACCAGCAAGAAAGTTCTCGACTATGGGCCTCCCTGCCTTCTCGAACAGGTCCTCCTGCAGGGGGAGACAGGGGAGCGGGACGAGGGAGGAGGAAGGGGGAGGGGTAAGGGGGGAAGGGGAGCAGCAAGAGGTGGCCGGGGTTGAAAAAAGAGGGGAAGTCCTGCCATCTTCGAACCGGTCCTTCTTCAACAGGGGAAAGGGCACAGGGTCAGAGGAGAGAGTTGGCTTGACTCCGCAATACAGAGCAAGGATAACACAACCACTGTAAACTCATAGCACTTCCATGAGCGCCCATCCCCACGCGCTGCTCTCTCATCCCCATGCCTGCGACTTGCTCTCCCCTACCCTTCAATCCAACAGCCCCAATCCCCATGCCCACCTGCGTCGCGCTCTCCCCTGCCACGTGGTCGAATGTGAACTGCTCCGCCGCGCTGACCCCGTCCGGGTTCACCAGCAACAGCGACCGGGAGTTGTTCTGCACAACACAGTTCTTCCCGGGGTTCTCCGTCCGCTCAGACCCTGTTGCCGGCCGTACCCTCACGATCACCTGACAAGGAGAGAGCGAGAGCAGATATGGGTGAAGCGAGGGAGAGCGAGATAAGAAACGGAGGAAGAGAGGGAGGTGGAATGACGACGGAGAGAGTGAGGAGACAAGATAAATCGGTACGTAGAAATGGCGTATCTTTGTCCTGTCACGAGCATCTCGTTCATACAAACGCAACCTCAACATTGAATGTCGGCTGACGGACTGCTGGTCGACCTGCTGGTGGTCGACCTGACCCGGTGGTCGACGAAGGAAGGGCCGACGTCGACCTCGACTCAGGACGCCAAGTAGTTGGGCGTCGAGTAGCTGGACGTCAACTTCGTGACGCCGACTTTGGGTAGCCGACTTGGGAGGTCGGCTGACAACTGCGTTGGCCGACGAGGAGCTGGTCGACCAGGACTGGTGATCGACGTGGAGCTGATCGACCAGGAGTGACGTCGATTTGGAGCTGGTCGACCAGGGGCCTGGTCGACCTGATGAGGTCGACTTGGAGTGGCCGTCGACTTGAGAGGTCACTTGCTGCAAACCCTTCACTGCTGCAAAACCCTCCCGCGTCACTTGCTCCAAATCATTCACCTTCTCTGCATCTGCCCTTTCACCCTCTACCTTAATCATACGGCCCTTGACCTCACCCAAATCACGCTCCACTGCTCCAACCAACTCATTCAACTTCTCTGCATCTGCCTTTTCCGCAGCCACTTTCACCGTAGCTGCCTGTTCACCCTCCACCTTCAGCAAATGCTTCTTCACCTCACCCAACTCACGCTCCACTGCCCCCGCGAAGTCATTCACCTTCTCCGCAGCTGCCTGCTCCGCGGCTTCCATTTCACCTTCCACCTTCAGCAAATGCTTCTTCAGTTCACCCAACTCACGCTCCATTGATCCCACCTTCTCCGCAGCAGCCTGCTCTGCAGCCACTTTTACCGCCGCTTCCTTTTCACTCTCCACCTTAAGCAAGCGGCACTTCAGCTCACCCAACTCACGCTCCAGCGCTCCCACTACCCTCTCCTTCTCCACAACAGCAAAGATGGCAGCTGATACATTCTTCAACTCATCCTTCAACTCACCCTTCAACTCATGCACCTCACTATTCCCCTCCTCACTGCTCCTCCTCCCCACCTCTCCATTCCACCCTCGCTCGTTGCCTGCCCCCTCTGGCTCAACCTCCTCAACTGTCTGCCTCATGATGAAGGGCTCAAGTGTGAAGACCTTGTTTCGAATACAATGAAAGACGTGCAGGCCTGCTAGAGCACAGACAGTAGCGCCGGCTATGCAGAAAACGGAAACCTGCAAAGAAACAAAGTGTAGATCCAAGGAAAAAAAAGGGTCGCTCCTAGAGCAATGTGCGCAGCTCACTTGCATGAGGGACGTGCGAACAATAGGAATGCAAAAACAATATATACCTGTGTGCGGCAAGGGAGAACTAAGGCTTTGGAAGCACACAGCCAAGGGGTGCCACAACAGCGGAACCTCTACCCACCACCAGCTGAGCTACATGTCTGTAAGTAGAAAATCAACATACGCTCTCTCCTGCAGGTGTTGAATGCTGCACTGAAAGGGTCGTTTGGCTTTCTACTCACATTCAAACAGACTAGAAAAGCGACAACCCTGCCAATAGAGACATAAACAGAATCCACATTCACGTACCACCAGAACATGATAGGCCGTGCGCGCGTGACGAATAAGCTGAAGGAAAGATAACGGCTCCTTGAAAGGCCGAAGAGCCATGATCGAGTAACAAACATGTTGAAGGTAAGACAAGAGTGTCTTGGCACCAGGGTGGGTGGCACTGTCTGTGGGCTGGGATGAAAGATGGCACATGCATGCAGAATCAGAAACTGAAGAAAATAAAGAGCGGCCGAAGAGCCATGGTCGAGTAACAAACATGTTGAAGGTAGGATAAGAGTGTCTTGGCACCAGGTTGTGTGGTACTGCCTGTGGGCTGAGAGGAGAGTTGCACTTGGAGGGCAGAGTGGGAGGAGGGAAGAGTGGGAGGAGAGCAGGAGCAACGACAAGATTTCATTTCAACAATGCACATGGTGCACTGGCTACACAAATGCTATACGAAAAGACATGTGAAAAAATGAAAAGGAAGTGGCAAGATTGGCAGATCTCGTAGTGGCAAAATCGGCTGTCAGTCATTTAGTAATTCTGCCACGCATAATTGGTTACTTGCCATGAACCAAATCATGGAAGATGATGCGCTATCATGTATGGTATAAGCTATGATGTTAGGGTGAGAGCGGAGCCTGGCCAACCACACAGTTCACATACATTTCTATCATGTTTATAAGCCATGATCATATAGCACTTGATTCATTGAACACAGCTTCAACTTACACCAGGAAGGCCCAACAAAGGCTTGGCTTCTTGTACCAAAGGCTCGGGTGCTCGCGCAGAGATGTTTGCCAGTTGAGGGAGCTGCAAGGGGCAAGAGGCAATAGGAGGTTGGGTTGGGATTGGAACAACGCATGGTGTGATCATAAATGAATGCTCCAATGGCTTGGGTGCTCGCGCAGAGCTATTTGCCAGCTGAGGGAGCTGCAGAGGCAATAGGATCAAGGTTGATTGATGTTAATGGCTTGGCTTCTTGCACCAGAGAGCGTAAGCTAGTGCATGATGCAGTGACGGTGAGTATTGAAAGGCTGGAACGACATGACATAAGTCGAATATTCAAGTGTAAGTGAAGCTTAGACGAAGCTCATGACAGGTGTAGAATCAACAAGAAGCATATGACGGTAACATACAGTCTGCATGTGCTTGCTGGTGTGCAATTCATCATTCGGAACCACCGCGAGCATCCATCTGGTGAGCCACGTGGCAAGCAGAGCTGCTACCAGCCCTGCTACCGCCACCACCACTCCCACCGTCCGACCCATGGGCGTCAGTCAGTTAGGTATCGGCTGAGCAGCATCGACCGTGAGAATCAAGAGACCGAGGGAGAACGAGATGGAGCAAGAAGCAGCAGCGAGCGTTAGAATGAGGAGAGGAAACAGGAGCAACCAGCAGAAGCTAGCTTGAGCAGCGAGAACGGCACGTCAGAGATCGCAGCAGCAAGAGTAGAAATGGAAAAAAAAAAAAAAAAAACAAACAAATTACAAGGAAAAACATAAGCGCACGATGAGAGCAAGGGGTTTTTGTCCCGGGGAGAAAACGGCAGACTGAACTACCTGGAGAGGGAGAACTACCTTGAGGAGCCAAGGGATGCAGGATGTGTTGAAAAGGGAGCGAGTGGGATGGTGACCTCGCGTTACTCCTGGCTGTATTACCTGTTCGTATGACGCCGTGCTACCGTCTCGCGGGATTTCGCAAAGTTTCTCGCAAAATGTGGTAAATCCAAGGCCATTTCGCCTTCCGCGTGATCGACGGCCATACAGTCGCTGGTTTCTGAGAGAGCGGCATGGGAAGCAAGCTTCGGGTGGGGGTAGTAGGCGTGAGAATCCCGGGCTAGGCGTGAGGGGGTAAGGAAACAGCATGCACGAGGCGTGGAGACCGACTGAACTGTGTGCGAGTCAGCGTTGCGTTTGATGGAATCTGATGGGGCTTGGGGCTTGATGGGATGGGATGTATGTTGAAAAGTGAATCTGTATTTGGCATGCACGAGGCGTGACGAACCTAGTTGATCTATGAACGATCGATTTGAGCTATCGATCTCGCACAGTGTGACCGATAGAGCATGCAGCGTGGCAGGCCTGGTACACGTGGCGTTTCGCATTCTGACCTGTGCGCGCTCGTGTCACCTGCATCGACGGCTAGACTCAGGAGAGAATGGCGATCAAAAGGCTCACGCTCCAGAATTAAGGATAGCCGTGCGATTTCTGTAATGATCTAGGATGAGCAATCTGAAGGATGCGACGCGATGAGACTGGCGGTGGTTGGCTAGGCGTGATGCACATGCTTGAGTCGGGGGTCGGTGTGGGAAGGGGAGGGACGGACTTGGCCGAGCCCGTTACAAGACGCCTGTGATATATACAAAAAAGCAGAAATTCAAATAACTACACTGTGTATGAGAGTTTTTTTCTGGATTATTAGATTACAAGTTGCTGTACTACCTTACCGGTGGAGGGAGCCCAGAAATGCTCCTTGGCAATGGACGAAATCACTATGGATATCCACGTAAACAGAATCCAAAAATTCATCAAACCACCAGATACTAACTACGTAACAGAATCAAACCATTCGTCAAAATCATCTAGTGCCGGTGGTGGAGCTGCTGCCTTCAGTTCAGGCTTCACCTGTGCAGCACCTACTTTAGCCACACCCGAACCACCTGCTGCCTTCCTCTCTCCCGTGTTTGCACTTGTGATTCTGCTGATGCTTCCTGCCCGCCCTCCTAGCAGCTCATCAAAATCATCCAGTGCGGGTGTCTGTGGCGCTGCTGCTGGCTTCAGTTCAGGCTTCACCTGTGCAGCACCTGCACTGACCACACCCAAACCACCTGCTGTCTTCACATCTTCCTTGGTTGCAATTGCACCTCTACTGCTCCCTGCCTGCCCTCCTAACAGCTCATCCAGATCATCTTCCCCTGCGAAACCACGCACATGCCCATGCCCATGCGTGTTCACAGGGGCTGCCTCCCCTGCTTCTGCTTGCTGCTTCGTCTGCAGATTCTCTGCTCTGGTTGCACCGCTGCTGCCCCCTGCCTGCCCTCCCAGCAGCTCATCCAAACCATCTACCTCTGCAAACCCATGCCCATCATTCTTACTTCCTGCTTGCTCCCCAAGCTGTTCTAGCTGCTGTTTTGCTGTGCCCTCCTGTGTGCTCGGTGCCAGTCCAGAGGCTGCTGCAGGCTGTGGTGTCAGAGGGAGGAAGGACTTTTGAAGCTGCTGCTTCTGCTGCTGCTGCAACTCATTCTCCTCTCCCTGCTGCCTTCCCAAGTCACGCCCTCCTTCTCTACTCTCACCCTCCTCCTCGTCCCCTACTGCTCTGAACTCCTCTGCACCACTGTGAATCGCCTCAACCGCCACCCAGTCGCTCTCATCCGTGGCATAGCACCCAGGGTCCAGCCACCAGTGGGAAAAAGAGGAGGAGATATCCTGCCTTGGTTGAGACTGCTGTTGGGCCTGTTGGAAAGAAGTCAAGGGGTGCAAGGTAGAGAAGATGAAGAGAGTCAACCACCAACCAGTCCCTCCCGGTCGTGGCAACACACCCAGGGTTCAGCCACCAGTGGGAGAGAAACGAGGAGATATCCTGACTGGGTTGGGACCGCTGCTGTGCCTGCTGGTTGAAAGTCAGGGGATGGGAGGGAAAGAGAAGATTCAACGACTGCCCTCGGACCCTCTCATCCATGGCACAGCACCCGGGGCCCAGCCACAAGTGGGAGGGAGAGAGGAGATGAGATACCCTGACCGGGCTGTGATTGCTGTACCTGTTGTTCGGAATTTTGCAAGGGTGGCAGACAAGACCATCGCGGACACGCACAGCACATCAGGTGGGTGGCACATCAGGTGGGTAGCACATCAGGTGGCGCAGCAGGCAGGTCAGGTGGCACATCAGGTTGGGCGAGGCTGTTGGGGAGATAGAAGCAGCACAGCCCAGTCTCTCTCATCTGGGTCATAGAGTTCACGGACCAGCCACCCGCCCTGGGATACCAAGCAGGATTTTGTTTTTTGTTTTCCTATCAAAACCGCGTGTCATGTTGAGTGGACAGAGAAATCGTAGGCTACACAGTACGCAGCTTGAACCGCATGTTACCTTGTCTGGAAAGAAGGTGGTCCAGTCATGGGAGGGCAGCAGCAGCAGCAGCAGAAGTCAGTGCAGAATGTGGCTTACATGTCTTACAAGAACGGTACTATCATCCAAACATGTTCAGTTGACAGCTTGAACGAAGTGTTACCTCGTCCAAAAAGAAGGTGGCCCGGTCGTGCGGGGACAGCAGCAGCAGGGACATGACGAGCACACCAGCATAACTCAAGGGGCGTGTTACCTCGTCCGGAAAGAAGATGGCTTGGTCATGAGGGGAAAGCAGCAGCAGCGACGGCAGCGGCACCGCCTGCAGGTGCTTCTCCAATGCCTCTGAGTCGAACTGCAGGAGGTGCTCTGGGGAGAGCTGTGCGGTGGGGAAGGGGGGAGAGGGGGAGGGACAGGGAAGGGGTTAAGGGAATGTACAAGGATATTGAGTTTCATGCTCTCCAGGCGGCAGCACTGGCACCGCCTGCTCGTGTTTCTCCAATGCCTCTGAGTCG